AGAATATAGTAAAAAGAAAAACGAGAAGCAACACATTTTTAATAAGGTGATAAAAAAAATATTGAAAAAAGCAGCAACTTAATTCTCGGGTTTCATCATCACATTAAAACAAACGCAAGTCATCTGGCTACACGGCAAAATATACCCCTACAGGGAGATGTGGGGGAATGACGTGAGTGTTCACGAGGTAACTTGCATATAAAGTTGTCTTGGTATAGGGAGGTACTGCTTCATAGGGCGGACTGACTCTGCCAACACGGGGAATTTAATTAAAGCTTATATAAGATTTAAAGCTCACCACATCAGAGCGCCATTAAGAAGTGTCATTAGTGCTGAGTTAAAGGTGAAGAACTCGGAGGTAGAATTCCATGGATAAAAACAGGTGGAAGTTTTTCGTTTGCAGTGATGATAAATACGAAAGAGTGTCAAGTTAGTGAACGTGAGAGGAAAATGTTGGGTTCTGGGTCGTGTTGTAACAAGTTTAGAAACATTTGCAATTGTGTTGGTTGTTCACAGGTTGTGTTATGAATGGTTATTGTTCTTAATTATGGTGTTCTTTGTCGCGCCTCAGTGACCATGATGGCTGGTTCAAGCTGTGCTGTTTTGGGCTTGGATTTTAATTTATATTCTTTTTAATGGCATTGATTAGAGGCAGAATAAGTCATTAGTTTACCTATATCTGTGATTTATAAGATCTTCAGTCGCGAATCTATATATATATATATATATATATATATATATATATATATATATATCTTGATTTATCTTGTCCACGTTTTCATTGTGGATCTACATGAAATATATATATATATATATATATATATATATATATATATATATATATATATATATATATATATATATATATATATATAATTCACCTGTAAACTTTAACAAAAATAATATACCCATTTAATCCACATTTATATACCAGTAGGAACAATCCTTTACAAACCTTAACTTTCACGGACAGTTCTCGGAGTTAATATAACAAGTGAGGACAAGTTTCAATAACTCTCTGGCGTATAATATATAACATGTGACCTTATAGCCCCAGCCAGCTTTTGGACCAGAGTTAAGACATTTTATTCCACTAAATTGTAGAAAGTCAGCCAGACATGTCCCTGTTTACGAGTCGCAGAGAAGCAGTAGCGTTATCATGACTCTTAAACTGTATTGATTTTAGACCTTATTGACGCTTAACCCAACATATATTTTGAGTAACAAGATAATGTTATGACACATAATTAAGATGGATGGAATATTGTGGCTATACAGTTGTGTTTTTCTAGATGTTTCACTATTTAATCGAGGTATTGATATTCATCGGACAAAAATATTAACAAAAACATCGGACAAATATATTAACAAAAACACTGGACAAATATGTTAACAAAAACACTGGACAAAAATATTAACAAAAACACCGGACAAAAATATTAACAAAAATACCGGACAAAAATAGTAAAAAAAAACCGGACAAAAATATTAATAAAAACACCAGACAAAAATGTTAACAAAAACACTGGACAAAAATATTAACAAAAACACCGGACAAAAATATTAACAAAAATACCGGACAAAAATGGTAAAAAAAAACCGGACAAATATATTAACAAAAACACTGGTGAAAAATATTAACAAAAACAAAAGGCGAATGTAATTGCTGTGATCGAGTAAGAGAAACAGTATTTTCTCTTTGCACTATATTTTGTTATGTCTTGTATTATCTAAGGTACGGGTGGCATTTATGATAACCACACGAAAGAAATGCATTAACGGATTGTCTCTGAGTCTGCGTCGATCATGACTCACCCACGAAAGAAGTTGGAAGAATGTGAACAAAAGAAGGAAATGTTAGTTATGTGTTAAGGAGCATTTATAAGAACATCTCTCAACCGCAGAAAAATACTATCAGTCAGTTTGCGAATATCGGGGTCAATAGGGGTGACTGAGGCACTAAACGGTGCCAGGAATGATGGCTGGCACTACACATTGACCTCAGTGAGTGACGCTCTCATTCCCCGTAAACGTATTTTTAGACCGGAGATTTTTTTTCCAGGTCAGAGAATTTCCTTTATTTTTATTTTCCTCTAAATCACAGGAGTCTGTTGTCTGGGACCCCCCAAAAAACAGATATGTGATTATTTTTTTTTTTTAAGTAGATAAATAAAAAAAGATAAATATAATTAAATAGATAACTGATAAGATATATATTGAGGGATAAATATTTTTTTTTTGGGGGAGGGACGGAGGGGAGGGGGAGGGAGGGAGGGGTAGATTCTGTATTGTATAATTTAAGGTAGTTTATGATCTCTCCTCTCTCTCTCTCTCCCTCTGGGGCTATTATTAACTTTTAACAAGGACAAAAGGTATCAAATGATAGAGAAGCTCCCTTGTGTATGTATGTATGCATGTATGTATGTATGTATGTATGTATGTATGTATGTATGTATGTATGTATGTATGTATGTATGTGTATGTGTGTGTGTGTGTGTGTGTCAGCCAGTCAGTCATTGCCAGCCTGTGTCAACCAGCCAACCAAAATGAGCCAGCCAGCCCGCCACAGCCAACCAGTGTCAGCCGCGTCTCCTATAGTCCCGTACCCTATTCTTCCCTCGAGTGGCAGAGAGAGATGCAGGACCTTACATCAGTCGCCATGCAATTTCAACATCAATTTGGCCACCAACTTCGTGACGCAACTTGAGTGAGCCAATTAGGTGCTTCCTCACAATTTCTGGTCGGAGATGCTTGACATACTGTGTACTCAGTTCCCTCTCCTTGTACACTACCTCTTGTACACTAAGCCTTGTACACTTATAGCAGGAATTGACTATACACTATCAGGTGCCTAGGACATGGGGAGGTGTTGGGGAGATGGGGAGGTGTTGGGGAGATGGGGAGGTGTTGGGGAGATGGGGAGGTGTTGGGGAGATGGGGAGGTGTTGGGGAGATGGGAGGTGTTGGGGATGGGGAGGTGTTGAGGAGATGGGGAGGAGATAGAGTGAAGTAAACTTGTATGGCGATTTTACTGGATCAATCAATCAATCATTCAATCAATCAATCAATCAATCAATCAATCAATCTCTCTCTCTCTCTCTCTCTCTCTACCCACTGGATGCTAAGGGTGAAGAGATGATCACCTGCCTGGACCTTGTCACAACAGACTTACTTTAAAAATCATAAGACACAATTTTCGTGAGACCTTTACGTCCAATATAAAGATGAAAACTGCAAACTTGACGAAGAAAAACGAGACTTGTTGTGAGTAATATTCAGATTAGGAGTAAACTAAAGTCTTTCAGCGAGTAATTTTAAAAGTTTAATTTGCAATAAAAAAGAAATATTCTGATCTTAAACTAAATCCTTATGATGAAGATGAATAAATTGTAAGTATATTAAAAAAAATAGAATGTGGATATTTTCATTCGTAGGTAAAGGTGGTGTGTGGTGTATGTGTGTGTGTGTGTGTGTGTGTGTCTGTCTGTCTGTTGTATATATGTCTGTGTCCTGTGTATATGTATTTTGTGTACAGTATATGTATATATTTAAACAAAAAAAATGTGTCTTTCTTTTGTATTGTTTATTTATTTGTCGATTTGTTTATTGTTGTCTTTGTTACGGAGAGTCAGTTGCCACACTTCACGTCAAGTCTGAAAGGAACAAGGCACAGTGTTTCTCTTAACCTCTAGTGTCAACAAGGCCACCAACAAGCATACAAGACTTGGAGAATAAACCCAAACTATTTATCTTCAAGCATCCAAGCGCGCACACCCGCACACACACCCGAGCTCCCTGCCACGCACACCCGCTCATCCATCCACACATATACACCCACAACCAATCATACACACACCCACCCACAAATATACACCCTCTCCCACTCACCCCCCACCCCCTCCCCAACACACTCCAACACACCCCACCCTCCCCAACACACACGCCCCCACCTTCACCAACCCCCTCCCCCCCTCCCCTAAAAAACAGCTCTCCATTAATGCCAAAATCAACAACAGATTCAATTTTAAATCTATGACAACCAACTTTCGAGAGACCTTGGGCAAGATGGAAGAGAGGGAGGAGGAAAAGGGGGGGAGGAAGAAGAGGAGGAAGAGGGGGGGAGGAAGAAGAAGAGGAGGAGGAAGAGGGGGAGGAGGAGGAAGAAGAGGAACGCCATATTGTGTAGAGAAGTTATCTTTGTTAGGAAATATTAGATTGAAGAGAAGGAGGATATAACATTTTTGGGGAGAATAATTCTGTTTATTGGGTGAGGTAGCGATTCTGAAGAGGGAGTTGTGATGATTTTATTGTGAATGGTTAGATTGCAATTGATCTTTTTTATATTATTATTATTATTAGTAGTAGTAGTAGTAGTAGTAGTAGTAGTATTTGTATTATTATCAAAGTTGTCCTTCATAAAACAGTTTTAAGTCCCGAGTCCCCTACCACTGTAAACACATACACTACCCTGAGAGCCTCGCGCCGTCTGACCACCACTTGCCAGACAGTCAGGCACCTGCGTCTACAAATGTTCTGTGTGCGGCTGAATTGAAGACCATTAAAACACCTGTACCGCGAATGTGTTTTTTTTTTTTTAAGTTGGCCGCTTTTCAAACACCCTTACAATAGGTTTTTTTTTGTAGCAAATATACTAAACAACATTTAGGTAAACATCTGTATAGTAAATGCTGGAGTAGGAGGGTGTTCAAGCAGGTGTATCACAAATGTCGACTGGAAAAAGGAGGTGACATATCTTGGCACACCTGCATAGCAAATGTAAAGTGGAAGTGAAGAACCCTCCGACAGGTGCATAGCATATCTGGAGAACACGTGGAGACACTTGCAATAAAAATTACACTCTTTTAAGCTGGTGTAGAGCCACAACAGGTGCATAGCATATGTTAAGAGCTGGTGAACAGACAGACAGGTGCATAGCAAATGTTGAGCGTCGCGTGGAGGTGGAGGAGAGGGAGTGAGGGAGAGAGGAGAGCAGTGTGTGGCTGGTGGTCGTGGTGTGTGGTGGCAGTGTGAAGCTCTCCCTCTCTCAGGCGTCAGGTAGCTTCTTACTGTGTGGGTTAGTGGCACTCTGTACTGTGTGGGTTAGTGGCACTGTCTCTGTGTAATATGTGAGTTAGTGACAATGTCTTCTTACTGTGTGGGTTAGTGGCACTTTGTACTGTGTGGGTTAGTGGCACTGTGTACTGTGTGGGTTAATGGCACTGTGCACTGGGTAGATTAGTGGCACTGTGTACTGTGTGGGTTAGTGGCACTGTCTGTGTAATGTGTGGTTTAGTGGCACTGTGTACTATGTAATGTGTGGGTTAGTGGCACTGTCTCTGTGTACTGTGTGGGTCACTGTCTGTGTAATGTGTGGGTTAGTGGCACTGTCTCTGTGTACTGTGTGGGTTAGTGGCACTGTCTCTGTGTACTGTGTGGGTTAATGGCACTGCCTCTGTGTACTGTGTGGGTTAGTGGCACTGTCTCTGTGTACTGTGTGGGTTAGTGGCACTGCCTCTGTGTACTGTGTGGGTTAGTGGCACTGTCTCTGTGTACTGCGTGGGTTAGTGGCACTGTCTCTGTGTACCGTGTGGGTTAGTGGCACTGTCTCTGTGCACTGCGTGGGTTAGTAGCACTGTCTCTGTGTACTGTGTAGGTTAGTGGCACTGCCTCTGTGTACTGTGTGGGTTAGTGGCACTGCCTCTGTGTACCGTGTGGGTTAGTGGCTTTGTCTCTGTGTACCGGTTGTGGAAGTGACAGTTCCAGCTGCTTAATTTCCTGTGTCAAGCATGTCATAAGGAATGTCACTGCCTACAGACTGACACTGTCCGTCACCAACGTTGCGTAGAGGTGTCACTGCCCGCTCAAGTACCACTTCCCCGGTCTGTGCGTGTTCACTCCCCGCCAACAGCGACAGTCGTACATTACAGCAGGAAAATTGCAAAACGTATCAAGATTTTCGTTTAAAAGCTGCAGCTGATCATCAACAACTGCAACAAGCACATGAGTGTTCAGGTAAAAGTGATTTGTGAATTTCTCTTAACTTGTATCATTTTGGGAGGATTTTCGTCATTACTTGGATTCGGAAATTAACCTAACCTCACAACCTAACCTCACAACCTAACCTCACAACCTAACCTAATGAAACCTAACCCCCTGACCCTCCTATCCCGAGTCTAATCTAACCTAATCTTTCCCACTCCTAACTTAACTTATAATCTAATCCACTGCCAACTGTTCAACCCTTAACTTAACCCTTCTATTACTTAACTTAACCCAACGTAACCGAACCCCCAACATGAACTAACGTAATCTAACTTAGACCAACCTAACCCAGTTCCGACAAACTAACCTCTTTGTAACCTAATCTAACCTAACCTTACCTAACCAGTACCATCTAAGTTTAAGTATCATACGTTAAATTAGACCCCAGAAACTGAGTCCATAGAATCTAATTAGTAGTTTTTCAGCGCTAATTTGGGAACTCATTAACCTCAGGTCAACCAAATTACGATAGGTTAAGGTTGATAAATATATATACACAACAAATGATGATACAGTAGTGAAAAACAGCTATAAAAAGACATTTGTGTTAGATGTTAATTATTTTTTGGAAGTGGATTATGTATATTAGTGGTCATTTGGAAAGGGAGGGAGGGATGTAATCAAACGAGACTTCTTTTTTTTTTTTTTTGCCAATTGGTTTTGAGGATTTAGTCAAATGAGAAACAATTTGATACAGGTTAAACAGAGGGATTAGTCGAATGAGGTAATTATTGGGAATTGGCTAAATGGTTTAATGAAAGGAAAACTTTATTAAACCAGTTATAGTCTGTTCACTCGTAGCTTGAGGCCTAGGGTCAGTTTGTAGCAAGGCAGTTGATTGGTTGGCTGACGGACGCTACAACATTCACTAGTTCTTCAATATTTAATATATCTGATATTTTAAGGGATAATAAAAATTTTATGTTGATCTCTATTAATTTATCTACTTGGGAAAGTAAATATTAGTTTGTGTAACGTACAGGTAATAAAAATATTAAAAATATAACACAAACTTGATGAACAAATTCTGAGACATAAACACCTGGTCACGTGAAGTCAAGCAGGGAAGTGGAAATGTCGCTGAAATTTTATAATATTTTTCTTGTTCTCGTCAACATTTTAGGTTACCAGAACGTTTTACATGTTAATTATAGCTTCATCAAGTACAGTAGAGATCAACACAGAAAAGTTATTAACCCTTAAATTATCTGAATAGAAATACGATAGATTTAACACTGAAGAAGTGTCCGTTCAGCTAACCAATCTGCTGTCTTAGTGTTGCGTGCTTGGGGACAACAGCCTGTGGAAGGGTTTAATGAGTTGAGAAACCATTGTAAGTATTTTGGGAAGCTGGTGTAAACACTCGAGAAATCAATTAAAATAGGTTATTGTAATAATACGAAATCCTATTCGAAGTTGATAATAGGGTTTAGTCAAATTAAGAAAAAATTCGAAATTGGTTGAAGTCAAGCAAGAATTTGTATGAAATTAGTTAGAAAATTAGATCTAACGAGAAAAATAGATTAAACGAGAGACTACGGTATTGTATATGAAATTTGTTAGAAATTTTGTTCAAACGAGAAACTACTATACTTGAAAAGGCTGAAGGTTCTGTCAAGCGATACTCAATTTGAAACTGGAAAGAGAGATTCAATTAAACTAGAAAGTGCCCGAAATAGTTTACAGAAGTAAGTCAAGCGAGAAATTATTTGAAAACAGTTTGACGATTATCTAGAAAACTATTTATAGGATTTAGCTAATCGAAAACCTATATGAAAAAATAGAAAAATTAATTGAAATGAGAAACTGATTATTTTTTTTATTTTAAATATAAATAGCATATTTTTGGCAATTTATTCTCAATTATTTATGAATTTATGGATCAATTAAGTAGGTACGTAGGTAAACAAAGAATAAGGAGATAAGATAAAAATTGGTAGATAAACGGAATCAGTAGACAAGTTGATAAACAAAATAAATGGATAAGCGAAATAAGCAGACAGTTAAATAAACGAAATCAGTACATAGGTAGATAAACAGGGAATAAGTAGACAAGTAGATAACGGAATAAGTAGAAGGTAGATGAATTTAGTAGATATTGCATTAGAGTTTCACCACAAGCAGAGGACAGGGTGAAGTCTGTTGATTGCTTCTGCAGGCGTTGGTGATTGGTTGTGCTGGTGTTGGTGATTGCCTGTACTGGTATTGGTGATTGTTTGTGCTGGCGTTGGAGATTACTTGTGTGTCTACTTTTAAATTTCGTTTGAAGTATTAATGCAAATACTAACCTAATCTAAAGAATAATAACCATACCTTACCTAGACTAACCTAACCTAACCTAACTCAATATATCAACCATAGAGATAAACTCGTAGGGCGAACACACTCTCTCTCTCTCTCTCTCTCTCTCTCTCTCTCTCTCTCTCGTTTATCCCATGAGTGATAGCGCTAACTCTTGAAGCGGTGAACGAGTCTTCAAACTTTGTAGGGATGACCTGGTTTCCTCCCCTCCACCCCCTTCCCCCTCCCCCCTCTTCCTTCTCCACCCGCTTCCCCCTCACCCCCTTCCCTCTCCGCCCCTTTCCTTCTCCACCCCCTTCCCCCTCACACTCTTCCCTCTCCCTCTCTCCTCTCCTCTTCCTCTTCTTCCCCTCCTCCTCCTCTACTTCTCCTTCCTTCTATCCTCTTCCCCCCTTTCTCTTCCTTCTCCTTCCTCCTGCTCCTCCTCCTCCCTCTGTTTCTCCTTCCCTCCTCCTCCTCTCCTCCTTTCTTCCTAAAAAGTTTGTATCGAAAATGTTATTGGTTATTTTTGTGATGTTATTTTGTTCCAAGTTATTAAGTTATAATAATTCTCAAGGGTAGAATTTTGGGGAACGGACTTGGCGGTGTTCTGGGGGGTGGGTGGTGGTGTTAAAAAATATATGTCATGTGTGTTGGACTTTACACGAACGCACAGATGTTCTTTCAGTCTCTGTTTTAATATTGTTCTTGTTTTTCTTTTGTTATTGTTCATCTTTTTTTTTTTTTTTAACCTTTTAATTTTTTAGGTATTTTTTGTTTGACTGTTTTCTTTTAGCCTTTATTGTTTTTGGTTTTTTAGCTTTTATTGGTTTTCCGCTTTTTTTACTCTGTTTTGTTTGTTTATCTTGCTTGTTCTTTTTTTTCATTTTTTCTCTTTTTTCTTTTTTTTTTATCGCCATATTGGTAGATGTAAAACTCACACGCCCTGGGTTTTTTTCATCCTGCGTCTGTGTGAGGGATGGTCTAGTTGATTTATGGTTTGGAAGAAAGATTTGTGTGTGTGTGTGTGTGTGTGTGTGTGTGTGTGTGTGTGTGTGTGTGTGTGATCTATGCAACCCCACACACTCACGCACACATTACGATGGTTGTCCGTCGTGTACGAGGATGGCCGACTCAAAGGCCATCTCGGCGTGAATTTGTTTAAGGTGTAGAAGCTGTCGCCAACACAACAACCACACCCTAAGTTAACGAGTTGCTTGACTCAGTGTTAAGGAATAGTCCGAGAAGACCGGACAACTCGCCAACTGCACTGGCTAACTATTAACCTGGAACACGATCCGCAAATTGATAACATCCAGGTTCCCAATTACTGCTGGGTAGACGGAGGCAAATGGTGTAACACACACACACACACACACACACACGTCTGGCTTGTGAGTTTTGACCATCCTGAAGTGATAGCCCTGAAATTCACCCCTGACCCATGAACTTAACCCCTGACCTCTGACCCCAAGCCTTGACCCCCTAAAATAAAGAAGCCGCATGATAGAGTGTTGCTATACCTATACCGGACATGATTGTGTCCTTAATTATTTGGTGACACACACACACACACACACACACACACACACACACACACACACGACGCCAGGCCCTATCACAGCATATGTATACAATATCACTAAACAGCATGGAGAAATATAGTGTAGATGGCGTGACGAGGATACGGCAGACCCCTGATTTGCATATTCAAATTTAATCATATTTTCTGCAACAACCACGGCGACAATA